AATCTGGGACATTCTTGTGAGTAGCTTCGCATTGACTTCAAGATCCTGGTGGTAGAGGGGAGTGGTGTCAATATAATTCATTTATAATATTATAATATTAAATGAACTTTATACAAACACAAAATAACATTTCTATTTAGCATTGGAGGTGAAAAGGCATCACACTCTCCAGTGAAATTCCATCAGTTGAATATTTTTTTTAATTTAAAAACAGACAAATTTGTATTTATGATATAAATACACCTGCTTATGTATTTTAATATGTAACATTTTAAATGTTTTCTACACCACATTGTTCCTGCGTTTAAAGGGCCGTGGTCGTCGCATAGCGCATCTTTGAACTTCATGTAATAAACAATATATTTTACAATCGTTGTGTACGTCGTCCTTTAAAGAGACGTGTCAAGTACAAACTCATCAACTTAATAATTTTTAACTCCATCCCAAAATACTAACATGACACAATTTCAAAACATGTGTGAACAGTCTTTTATTACAAAAAAGAACACTTCGGTGAGGCTATACTTTATTTCTAAATTGTAGGTGATGACGGAAAACAAACACGGTTATATCGAATCTGTTCTAATTAAATTGTCACCCTAAATAGTACATACCCTGCCATGGAAAGAATAAATTGATTGTATCATGTCAAGATCAATTTCCTGAAAATGTTTATGCCTATTTTATATTTTCCTTAGCAATAAAAAAAGTGCCATTTCTGTTTTCAAACAGTTTATTCATACTCGGGTTTGAATCAACTTTGCTGTTTTAACACAATGTTATAATATTTCATGTCATTTTGTTCAATTGATTTACTTTTATTTCATCCAGAATGTGAATATTGTAATTATGTGATTTTGTGACGGTCTTGTTGGTCTGATAGTCATTCAAATTGAAATATTTGTTGAAATTACTCTGTTATTTGCTGTGTGTTATGTAGTGTAATCGTGCTTATGTTCAACTTTCTGGGTTTAAGTTAGTTCGCGGGCATTCACCGTCACCGTATTAAATATGAACTTTATTTTGTTTTTTATTTCAACGGTGTTATATAATTGTTGATTTAGACATCACCAATTCGGTCTTTTTTTACCCAATAAAAAATGCTTGAGAAACACTGTTTTAAAGCGGAGAAGTCGTCAGCCACGCTTTCGGTAGACGGCAGGTCTACCCATGAGCCATTGCGTTTTTAGTGTGAGCTGGTTTAGAACTCATTTAGAACTCTATTCCTGCGCGTGATTCGTCGGAATTATTCAATATCTCGAGACAAAATGGTTGTGTACCTGAACCATTTTTTTTACTGCGAAGTGTCGTGTATAATCGGAATTTTATTCGCAAAAGCATAAAATAAAGCAATAGTTCAACGCCAACAAAATCTGGTACTAGGTTTTAATGACTTAGCATACAACACTGTGGGTAAATATCATTATGTTTCAGGTATATACAACACTGTGAGTAAATATCATTATGTTTCAGGTATATACAACACTGTGAGTAAATATCATTATGTTTCAGGTATATACAACACTGTGGGTAAATATCATTATGTTTCAGGTATATATGTTTCAGGTATATACAACACTGTGAGTAAATATCATTATGTTTCAGGTATATACAACACTGTGGGTAAATATCATTATGTTTCA